TATCGGCCAAGAATATTATTTTGCTGATTTATATTACAGACGCAATAAATTCATTTTAAAAATTAGTTCATTTTAATAGTGCATAAATGTCTTTACTTTATTGTGTTTATGTTATATATCATATATGGTTAGGAAGGTATTTATGCTGTGTCAATTCAGGGCGTAGATATTTGTTTCACTGTTATTTTATAAATGAACATATTTGTTTGCAGTAATGATTGCAAGTGACATTACATATGATCTGCAGTGTGGGTTATTTCAGTTTGTAGTTTCTGTCTTTCAAATGAAGCTAAGCGTGTTTCTCTAGTTTCATGAGGATGATAAGTGTATGTGTTCTATAAACATGTAAAATATGGGTATACTGACTGTGCATAATATCGGTATTATGTGAGGCGTACGTCTTGTGCGTTATGCACTACATAAAGCGCACAAATCCATAATGTAATGACTTTACGAACTCGTTATTCCATTCCTATTTATACTTTGTGCAGTCAGAGATCAGCATCAATTTCAGATCCATATAGGGAAATTTTTATTTATTTTACTTTGTAATCTGGATGGTTTATGCGGTACGCTGTGAACAGTCAGCATAAGTCTGCGCACCCTGTATTCGTACTTTCAACTTGCATTATAATATCCAGTATCCAGAATACATATAAAGTGCTGAAAGTATATATGGTCTACTTACTGGAATGTAAATGTTGGTACTTGATACACTTCGACTTTGTTGTACGTTATGCTGTATAGGGTATTAATGGGCTTAAACGATTTCTTTCTAATTATAACTTTTTTCAGGCCTGCGATCACAGACTCAGAAAACTTATATTTTGGTAAACTTTCTTCGCAAGCATGGCATAATAAACTACCAAATGAGACATATACTGTATATTTAGGCACCACCTTTTAGTACAAGGAGAAGTTGGAGTCTGAACAGTTTTACTAACTTCGTTTTTCTGCATGCAAAAACGATTCTACACTGGCTTGGGTATCTTCTGAAAGAATAACTCTAGTTACTGAGGCTGAAAGACCGGAAATGAAAAATACTGTAGTATATCATTGTCTCCAAGAAAAAGCTACAAGGAGAAAAACCGGTTATTTAAAGTTAACATCTTAAGTTTGTGAAGGATCGTGTCATGACTAATGCCTTGGTTACCATTCATGATCGATTAGAATTTCAAGGGCAGTTTATTATTGAGATATGGTAGTGAAGTCATTTATTCCAAAATCTCCGAATTATGCTAGGATCCAACTACTATTTTCAACATGAGTGATTTATGGACATGATTACGGTTGCGCAGGCGTATTGTGATGACTGACAATCTGACATGAACAAGGACTGTTTTGTATTTCAGTTAGTCAGTCATTCAAGTTTATTCGCTTATGCAACTATAGTTGATGTCATTAAAAAATGCTGTCATCGCATTTTGGCAACATAAACTGGCCATGGTGCATAAACTGTCGATGAAACTAAAGTCGAAAGGAAATACATTTCCTCTCTCAGCACTTCATGAACAAACTGCATGCGATCAGTTTTATTTTGTTGGCTTCCTAGGATTCCAGAAATAACCATCGAGCGATTGTGTAATTGAACGATGAGAGAACTATGCACCATCAGACGTAGATCCATATTTTCCTAAGGCTATTATGCTTTGATGAACCTCATATGTGAATCGGTCAACAGCATTTGTCACATCGACAGCTTCATATTGCCATGAGTAAAAACTCATTCCAGAAAGTTTCAAGATGAATATAATGTTACTGCTATTTGTGTTGTTATTTGCTTTCTGACTGCTTGTTCCTGATGAATGATAAAATACGAAATACTCGACAATTGATTGCTTAGCTTTTGAATTCTGCTTCAAAATTCAAATCTAATCACTGTGGCAAACTTATGAGGGTGCAGATTCTTCAAAGATTTGCTGTAGCAGTTATAATCAGAAATTCAACAGCAAAAATTACACAAAAACAGAAGTTAACTAATCTTGTAAACTAGAGATTCTATCAAACTTTAGCTTGATCCTCCTCAGTTAAGCTAAGGTTTAAATAAGGCATAAGAATTTTGATTCTGGGGCCCGTAGTTTAAATATGTTTGAGCGATTCATGGTTCCGGACACTAAACAACAGATTGTGAAAGATCTGTTGGCAATGCGTTTCGCTACATGCATCATCATCATATCTGGGCACAAATTATTTGCCTGAAGCAGCCATTTGTGCCTATCCTAGATGATGTTACGGTGTATGAGACGAAACGCATGGGTAATAAGCCTTTTACCATCTGCCTCGTTTGGCGCCGGAACCATGAATTGGAGTTGGGGCTTGTTTGTTGTTTCTATGATCTTTACCTTGACCCATGTGCGTAAGCAGAACTTTTCTGGTTTGTGACGTCCGCTGTGTTGGCCGCTTTTCGACAATTATGCTATGAGACATCGGATACTGCATCTCGCGGGAAAGTATTTTCTTTGAAGGCACATCTGCTTCTACTTTTTCCTCGATGCATGTTAGTTTCCTCGTAGATGTATGCGTGTTTTCCATGCCATACGAGAAGCATGCTCATTGGCTTGCGTAGATGGTTTATATTCAACCAGTTTGTCAAACATGGCCAATGTTTTTTTTCTTAACCTCTTCATCTACAGTGTATACGTGTACCCGAAGAAGGGTCGTGTGCTACTGCCATTTAACCCTCATTAAGCGTTGAAGCCAACTGCGTTGCGCGCAGTTCAACCGTCGTGGTTATTGGTATTTTGTTAGAATAACTGTTTCCATGCCATAGAATAACGCTGACCTTACCTAGGGGCAAAGGACAGACGGCTTTTTTCAGAAACTCGTACGTTTCTCAGCCAAACTAAATTAAATATAAAATTTTACTCGTTTGTGTAACCTCATCGAAGAGTTCAAGGAAATCAAACTTCGATTTGCAGTTCTGAATTTGCTTCGTTAAGAATTTGTAGGCCTCACACTATCACATTTTAATCTGATATTTACGCTTTATTCTCTGGCGAACTTTTTCATTTCTTGCGCATTTATTTTTCATCATATTTTTAACTTTTTAGAACGAAATGGGAAACGTTTCGAGTCTTGTTCAGTACGTAATTTTCCCACCGATATTTCTGCGAGGTTCTAAAGACGTTACAATAAGAAGCACCGCTGGCAACAGGTAAAATTGAACATTTATATATGTTCGAAGGACATATCGATCCATTAACTGTTTGAATAATCTTTAATGAATTTTCTTCATTTCCAAATATTGCCGATTAGTGTCTAGAACTATCGATCAGGAAGTGAACGCCATTAACCAATATAGATTTACGTTTTACCCTGTGTTCCGTAAACACGCGGTCTTTATCCACCTGTACAGTACTAAGCTGAGAAAAAGCGCACCCGACCAATAAAATTCAAAGGCGCTTACAACATTTTACGTGAGGAAAAACTATGAAGTGTGTCTATTTTTGCCCTTTCGTCGAAAAACAAAGTAACAGAAGTTCAGGGCCATTTGAAATAGTGGGCTGTACACTGCATCAGTTGTCCTATCACAGGCGATTCTCCAGCAATTACGTAAGTTGTTCTCATTGTTACCAGTTGTTGCTCGATCTTTAGGCCACCCATTATAAGATTGCACTACTGATGGCCCAATATTCACATCTAGGGCGTAGCAGAGGTGCTTGATCGCAGTTTCATTTTTGTAAGCCAGTCAGCCAACCAGTCAGTTAGCCAGCCAAGCAGTAAGACAGTAACGAAAAATAATCATCTAAGTTAGTACAAGCCTTACAACCGCGGTTAAAACTCCACGCATCGATGCACTGGATATTTATTTGGGTGAGGTACCTGCTGATTCAATGGCAATACGGAAGTCAAGTTATACTGAAGCTTTGTGAACGCGTTCCACCACTTGTTTGAAGACCGATATCCGCGTCACTGCCATCGTTGTGCATGAACGTCTGGACAAATTAGAGGTCTTCTTCACAGGCACGCGTAACATGTGACTTAAGTCTGTCTAGTTCACAAAAAGCAGTAGAAAATGTTTATTTAATGCATTTATGTTGTTTTAACTTTTCGTGCTGATATTGTTTCTTGATACCAGTGTGTTTTTATTTTATTTTGGTGTATTACTTACCTGATATTAAGTTGTTTCCTCTGCTATGATACTTTATTTATCTTATTGTCATATAAATGATATTTCTCATGTTATCATACTGTTATCGTGTACACACGACCGAGTCTTTCAAATTGAAACGAGTCTTGTGGCAGGTTCAGTGTTTCATAAAAGTTTTAATATTCATTACGCAGTTTATTTTATTCACTTTTCAACTTCTAGTTTAGGCAAATAATTGAAAATGATTTTAATTATGTTCATGGATGGATTTAAATGCTGTTATCATGATCTGCTCAATAATACTATTAACCTGACTGTCGTCGATATCGTTTCTCAATGTGATAATGTCTGTGTGGACGATCTGCATTCTTTGTTAGGCTTACAGGGAAAGTAATTCATTCTACTTGGGCAAACGGCATGAGCTAACAGATAGAGAATTAAGTTTTGTTTTCTTTGTCTGAGACAGAGGACTGTTAATAACTAAACACATTTCAAAGGTATATACATCAATATAATAAATGATTTCTTATAAAACGTGCGCAGTGGTAATCCATCCATACTGAAACGGATTTGCTTTTCATTCTAAGTTTATAATACCGCGGTTTTACTGCGTAATACTAAGCGTACCCCTATGCCAAAGCTTGAGCCTCAGCATGGCTCTATGTACGTTTAAACATATGCAGTGGCTTTTATGTCGGCTAAGGGTTAAGCTGTAATGCAGTATAAACCACACATCACCACTCTGTACATGCAGTATTAATTTTAATCTCTGCCCATATAGACTAATTCATACTTGCGTGGAAGAATTACCGCCGGACGGTAATGGCGTGTATTATTCAGTACTTCGAAAGCACTGAATTTTTGAGTTTTTTAGGTTTCGTTCATTTAAGCGTAGGAGTAGAAAAAATTTTTAAAACTCTTTCGACGTTCGTTCGTTTTATTTCTACTGTGCTTCTTTCGATTGCACATACTTGATTTTTATATCCATAAACTGTTTAATAGCATGTGTTCCGAATACGATACGAGTGAGGTGGAGAGTTTCGAAAACGAACCAGACATGCAGTTGGTAACCGAGGTATGGCTTGAACCTTACGAGTGTCCGTTAGCCGACGAATACGATGCTAACATCACCGTCGCCCAGTTGCTGGATAAGGTTAGTGTTTAATAGGTGCAAGGTTTTTGACGAAAATGTACCTGAGTTTGTTCCCGTAGGAATTAGTCGCTGATAATTTGTCACAAGCTAATCAGTGAAGCATGTGATAACGGAAATGCCTTAGCTTTATAGGATTATTGCTGCATGCGTGTTCTGAGTGACATTATCGATGCTGAACACAGTCACTAGCTTACAGTATGTTTTTACGTAACATCATAAGCAGTGCAAAACGTTTCGGTCAGATCAGCCATCATTTGCCTTTCTAGTCTGTTTGAGCATATTTTCGTCAAAAAATCCTGGTGTATGGTAACGAAATGTGAGAAGTCTTGAAACTGAATAATAATCCAAAACCATTACCGTTCCGCTGCAATTGATCCGTAGTATTGTTATAAGCAGGGATAAGGTACGACATTGGCGCCCCTTCAGATGTAGGCATGAATATTTGCGGTCTAATAATAAAATTCGTTAATATCTGTCCGACCATGTCACCTGACCTATTGGCAGACCTTGAAGAAATTTTGAAATAGCTCATATGCAGAAGATTGGAATTGTTCAGCCATCTGCAGGGAAGTGGGTAAGCCTCCCAGCGGTTAAACGGGAACCGAAATACAATGATGACCGAAAACGGTCATCAGTGTGCTTCACGTGTGGAGTAAACTAAACTGAACCGGGATCAGTTGCCAGTGAGTCACTGGACATTCCTTCCTTTGTTGGTGCATTGAATACCTTCATATATAAAAATGCGAAATGCTGAGATGATTGGACATCTTGAATCTTAAGTGGCCCTCAATTTTGCAAAACGTCATAAAATAATGACGGAGTAAATGTTAATGAATGAAAACCGCTGTTCCATTGTTAAAGCTTGTTGATGATATTAAATTTATGAAGGTACCCATTTCTTTATTCATTTACGAATAAATGCATAAACGACTTTTAATTTCGTTATATACCAATTCTTGGATTCATTGGTAGGGCCGAAGTGTTCAGTGTTGACGATAAGTCGCGATTGTTATTTGTCATATTGTTTTACGGTAGGTTCTAAAACCAAGCTTACATCCTAAGATTTCTGCGGGTACAGAGATCTGAGAACTTCGATTTTGGAGCGTTATATTTTGAAGATCCTCAGTGCGCCCATCCCAGAGTCATACTCTGATGACCAGGTTTCGAGAGTAGGTGTCGATTAATTAATCAGGCTATTGCTCTGCGATATGTAAGCATCTTCACTGCTAAATGGATATCACATAATTTTACTCGCTAATGCTATCTTATGCTTATCACGGACGATGCTTCAGTAGCTGTTTCGCCGTTTGAACACTAAAATATGGGTTCTCATACTCGCGTATGTTAATTGCAGCCTTGATTTATTCCATGTCGCATCGATGAGGGGTTACGGCGTCCCTACTGTCCTTGTCTTCATTCACCATTGTAGATTGAACTATGCTTGAACAGAACGAAGGCAGAAGAAACTGGTGGAGGTTCTTGGCGGTGTTGATGTACAAATCACTCGTCAGATTTGCATATAGAGGTGAAAGACTAATTGAATCGTCTATTATCTGATTCTCTCCGGATAGCGGGCATCGAAACGACACTAGATTTGTGCTGTAAAATGAATGATTAGAATTATCAGAGAGTGAACAGTTGCGGCTTTACTCGCTTAAAACCGAAAATGACGGCAATTGCTTCTCTTAATTTCATGGAGGTAGCATTTCAGCAAGTCTTCCCTTCATAGTATTTGTATTCTTGTAATGTCAAATGCGTCTTGTTATTTGCTCGTTGCGAGAGTTTTTAATAAACAATTAGAGCTATCGCACAAATGTAAAAGAATTAAACAGTGGAAATTTTTTTCGCATGCCAGACGGTTTGAAAAAATGCTTAAGACTTTAAAAATCGGATTTAAGCAGAGTTTTCGCCATCTCTCCCCCACCCTCCTTGCTTTTTTTGGCGCAGATCCAACAAGGTCGATGTTTTTTAATGCCATTCTCATTTTGAATTTAGATCCAACCTTGAGCAGAGCAAGCATTAGACACAATCAACGCATATCAGTAACGTAGAGAAGTGCAAGCATAAACGAACGTCAAGAAATTTAATTTTGAAAGTGTCTTTTTTTGCATTACTAGGCATTGCTGTTATTCGTAAGCAAATTTGCAAAAGACCCTACGCCAGTGCAAATCCCACACGTCTCTAGCCATGCATTTTACAGTTAGTTTCAACGCAGACGTCGTCGAAGTCAAGAGTTGCAGATATGATTACTATGGAATTATTTGACGGTGACGGTTTCTGCATTATTACCACTGTCCAGTCAGGCATTTTCGATGGAGCATCAGATTGTTCACTAAACACAGAGAGAAGTGAACATTTGAACATTTGATGCTGCCACGAGGACAGCAACACCGAGAATGACAACTGCAGCAGTAACGATTTACAGCGAATACTCTAATGATAACCGTACGGAAGATCATGATTAGATCGGTGATGTGCATGATATCCGAAATGGCGATCATAGTGATGTTGATTACAGTAATAACGATGGTGCTGACCATGATCCTCATCATATTGACGATGTCGATTATGATATGGTGGATGCTTATAATACTGATAGGTGATAACTATTTGATGGCGACAGTTTTGGCATAATAAGAATTGTCCAATCAGGCATTTTCGATGACGGATCGATTTTTTGTTCGAATTGACCTAGAGAAGTGAAAACGTTATACTGCAATTAGGATTGCATCAAACGAGGAATGATAACGGCGTTGATGAGTTTGGCAGCTACAGCGATAATAATCGATAACGGCCGCGCGATGATTCATGATGACCATAAGAAAAAATAATGATTAGTTCGATGATGTGCATGACAACCAGCATGACGATCATAATAACGATCATGGCAATAATGAAGCTGATTATGACGATGAGGAGGAGGATTTTGATTATATTGACGATGATGATAACGATATGAAGGATGTTTATAACAATATTGTCAGTTACGACTATGATAGAGATTATCTAGATCCCTATCAGTGATAAGGGAAGTTATGCTGATTCATGAGGACAGTGGTTATTACGAACGCAGTGATCGTTATAATGTTCGCGACGACAATTCTAATACAGAATCTTTCACAGAAGGGATTATGACGTCTTATTCATCATCATTACGCGGATAATGATTAACTTCAGAAGCAATATTTCGAAGACTAAGAAGACGAGCATGGAAGCTATTGATCCATATGACAGGAATCATGTGAAAATGATCGTAGGCACAACCAGTTTGATGTTGATTATGGTATCTTGTTTTTCCAATGCTATTCCCGTTTACTGGGATCTGTTGATCGAGTCAAGTGCCTCCACATTTTTCAGTATTTGGCCAACTTTTCCGTCACTCCTCACAGTTTCATATCGTTTTTCATGCCATCCATTCACTTTCGCTTTGGTCTTCCAGTTCTACTATTGTATCAGTGCTTGCACTATATTTGCAACATACTAGTTGGGTCTTCTTTTCATATGGTCTGACCAATGGAGTCTGCTTTCGATCAGAATTTTTAAAACTGATGCTACGTCAAAATTGCATCTTATGAAGATGGTCCGTATATTGTTGTTTTTGCTGCTGTTGATTACGATATAGTAATTTGATAACGTATTTACTCGTGTTAAATTTTAGTTCGCTATCATGTGGATCAAGATGAATTTCACCCGGAAGGTGCATGCATCAGGCACCTTGGCCGTATTCTTCACACGCTTTAGCATGACCGTAACTCAATGCATGGTTGCCCCTAGTATTCACAGGTCACCTGCACACCACTTATCAGCTGTTGTGCTGAACCACCGTTGAGTTAATTCTTTCCTTCAGAGAATTAGCAGTTAACAAAAGGAAGCTTATGCCGCGCGTGGGATTTCGAACAGGGGCTTTTACATAGTAAAGCAAACTCAGCCCATTGGGTCACTTCCTTCGACACTAGACGGTTTACGACAGTGATGATACTAACAACAGTGACTAGAACAACAGTCATGAATTCAATGAGGTTGATGTTATATTAGTGGTCATGATAGTAATGATGGGGTCGATGACGATGATCATTGAAAAAGTGAATAAGGTGCGGATTGTGATTGCAGCAATGATAGAGACGAAAATTATTATTA